GGAGTCCGACCCCTTCCAAATAATAATCACGTCGTCTATATACCGCCGCCATAGGACCAGGTTCTCCACCCAGTCATGACCCAACCATACGCAGAGGTCTTCCCACCTGCGCATGTATATGTTGGCATAACTGGGGGCGAGCCTGGTACCCATGGCGGTGCCCACCAATTGCAAATAGAACGATTGATCAAAAAGAAAATAATTATGTTCTAATATGAACTGGATACCCCACAGGATGAAGGACCTAAAACCTATAGAAATATCTTTATCTTGATTTAGATAGAAAGCAACTGCTTCCAAACCAAGATTATGACTAATAACCGTATACAACAAGGTCACATCCAATGTGGCCCAGCTGTAGTTCTCCTGCCATTCCAGATTTTCAATTTCTTGCAAAAAAGATTTTGTATCCTTTGTATATGACAATGCCATTTGGGCATATTTTTGTAAATAACAATCCAGAAAGGCAGAAAGATTTGCCGTGATCGATTCAATGCCACTTATTATTGGGCGGCCTGGAGGACTTGTTAAATTCTTATGGATTTTTGGAATAAAATAAAAAATTGGAATAACTGGGTAGGGGTTCCAAAGATACTCAAAATTACGTTTTGTAATAATATTTTCATTTCTGGCTTCTTCTAAAAGGGTTTTTAGTTCTCCATTGAAGACCTGAGAAGGATCATTTTTAAGTTTTTTATAGGTTTTACCATCAGCTAAGATATTAGAAGCTTCTTGTCGGTAGTATTGTTCTGACATGATGACTATTGCTCCCCCCTTGTCCGCTTCTTTTATAATAATGTCCTCCCTTGAGATTAAATTATTTAATGCTAATTGCTCCCCCTTGGTCAGATTTTGTACTTGATCTCCTCCTTTTCTTTTCCTCTTACCTACCCATTTCTCAAAGTCTTTTTCAACCAAATTCTCAAAGGTCTCCAAATGAGACCCTTTACTCTGCACTGGGAAAAACTTAGACTTGGGCTTAAATTTTTTCTGTATATCATTTAGCCCGTTTCCATCTTTGTTTTCAAAAACTTTATTTTCAAAAGGAATGGGAAATTTTAAGAAATGTCTTGTAACTGTCATAGATCTGATGAACTTTTTAAAGTCAATATATAATTGAAAATCATCTGCCTCTTGATTGGGGGCAAATTTCATTCCCTTTTCTAATAGTTGAATCTCCTGTTCTGTTAAACTTGTGCCAGATAAATTAACAATCCCCCTTTGTAATTCATCTCCTGATATTTCTAATCTCTCCCTTGGTTTCTTTCCTGATCCTCTGCCCGTTTCCTTTTCTGTGGGGATTCCTTGTATAGATGAGAAAAACGATTGGGATGTTCCCACCTTTTTTCTCGTGGATGGAAATAGTTGGTGATGGTTTTTTCTTTTGGGACTCTTGCTCTTTCCTGAAAATTTTCATTTTCCCTAGTCTCCAAAGGATTCACTTTTCTAATTTCTTCCTTATTTCTCACAACCTGTGCATAAGTTTCAAAATGTTTTTCATAATGTTTTTCCCTTCTATATGGGGGTTGTGTTATACAATCTGCATCATCAAATTCATTCCTATCTGTCCTTCCCTCAAAGCATGCTTTTTCCCCTCTTTTTGAGTTTTTGTATGGTATATCCCTTTCTCTTTCTGAAGGACTTTGTCCAAAAACCTTAGGCGATCTTCCCCTACCTGGGGTTCTTCTCCTAGCCTCAAATGAAGGAAATCTTTTCCTAAAATTATATTGAGATTTCTTATTTCTCTCTGGGGTTGTTCTTCTAAAATTTCTGGATGGAGTTCTAATGAATCTTCTTCTAATATTTGATCTTCCTACTCTTTTGCGGGCAATTTTATTCTTTATTGAAAAATTATTGTGAACCATATCATCTTTGTCCCTTAGATACTTATTATTCTTAGTATCAGAGATCTTTTCATCTAGATGTTGTAATCTTTTAAATAAAATCTCCTCCCTTTCTTTAAACTCTACATCTTCTCTATTGCCAATATCTGTCTTATCTAAAAGTACCAGATCTTCCTCAATCTTCAATTTACTTGCTTTTGAAAAATCCAGTAGCAATGTCATTAATTGGCAAGAACAGTTGAATAAAATATTATCCCATTTATTTAGAAATTCTTCATTTTCCAAACCAAAGGCCGGAGTTTTATCTATACGAAGTCCTCTAGGTATAAGACCCTCGTCTAGATAACTCCCCAGAAAAGCAATCTCCCACCATTTTTTCGTTTCCAAATTTAGCAATTTCTCTTTGTGCTTGAAAAATTCCTCTAATCCACCCATAGGTTTTGGTTTAGCCACATTTTTAAACATTGTTTCAAACTTTTGTGATCTTGCTTTTTGTATCCTTTGTAAATAATTGCTACTTTCTGCCATAGCTAATAAATTTAGACACAATATGGATATGTATTACAATACTGGGAACACCACAAACAAACAAAAACACGGACACCCGTGAGAAAAGTGATAAAACACAACAACTCAACTGAAAAGTACACAGCTTCCCAAGTAAAAATGTAACAAAATCGGAATTCCACTTACCCCTATTAATATAGTAGCCCAGAGTGTGGAAATACACATAAAATAACAAATAACAGGTGTACAAAAGTCAAAGCAGACGTGTTTCGGTCAAACAGCCTTCTTCCAGTGCTTGTCCATGATTTTAGAAAATAAGGCACATGAATTATCACACAGAGCCAATATGCATGGTTTCCCAATACTAAAATATAACTGGGATAAATGGGAAGAAAAAATCAAAACAGTTTATAGTCTTTGATATATTTATTGTTAAAGTGCATTGTTGTAAAACATTTTTCTTTTTGCCATATACTTTAATATGTTTATTTCATTGATGGATGGATACCCCTTCCCATTTCCAAGTTAACCCTCCTTTCCTACCCCTAATACAATGTTTGTATTATTATCATTTGTTATACAAAAAACTTTAATAAAAATTTTTTGAAAAGAAAGGCACAAATAAGCCTTTTCTGCAGGGAAAAAGAAGGCTTTTAACATGGGGCAATAATCCAAAGGCAACAGGCGAGCAACCAGGCTTCTCCAATGCAATGTGGCGAGATTGGTCTTGTCACAATTCCATTCCTTAATTTTGTAGCCTGCCTCTACACTTTTTCTAGTGCCATAATATCTTTCTTTAGAGACCAAAATTGCACAGCATATTCAAGGTGTGTTCTTACAATTACTTTATAAAGAAGCTTGTGGCAAAACCGACCTCGCCAGTGAGCATTGGAGAAGACTGATTGCCAGCCTCCTGCCATGTGACTATGGCCCCTAGGATGTATTGCCCTTTCAAGACATGATTTGGGCATAATGGATTTGTGTTGTGCTGCTGCTGGCCCTTTACCATCTGGGGACATACTCTGGAGTTACTGGGTGGCCACCATTTCCTGTATCAGAGGCACATGGTGAGAACAATGGATGGCGGCCATTTTAACTCACAGACACTGTTTGGACTTTTCAACACGGTGCCATCTCGCCGGTATTTGGTGCACAGAGACATCGTGCAGTGGTTTTGGACTATACAACAGGGGACACATTATACAGTAATTGTTTTTCATTTAGCCTGCATATGTTCTGTGGAATCTGCATTAAACTGTATCTTCCAAAGTACTGAACGGATCTGGGTGAATTCTGAATATGTGGTTCACCCAGATCCCCCGGTTCCGAGGATATACTTGTTGTGGGGTTGTTGCATGTTTTGGGGTCCCTGTGATATGTTTTATGGTGCTGTATTTCTCTGCCTGTGATAATTAGATTAACCATTGTGTTCAGTAATCATATCACAGGCAGAGGGGAATATTTTGTGTGGGAGTGTCTGTGTGTATTGTATGGATTGATTGGCTGTGTTTCAAAATCCTGTGGGCGGTGCTATGTTTGTGGATTGTGAATAAAAGAGGCTGTATGTGCCAGTACGGTCAGTTCTGCTTGACCTCAAAACAAAGTGTCGTCTCGTTATTGGGGGAATTGGATTGTATGCTGAGTGCCAGGAGTGTAAGCTGATTGTATGCTTTTCCTGTACAGCCGCTTACAGCATTCATATGCTTGAGAGCATTCGTATGCTTCTTCGGTTTGGTGGTTGTGGTGTCTGCTGCAGTGCTTGGAGTCCTCAGGAAGCGCTAGGAGCATCCTTCAACGGAGGTACCCAGTCGGGGTGCCAGGTGATCCGTTACAAAGCTAAATTAAATTTTCATCCTGAGAATGAATGCCTCTTTTTACACATTACAATACCTTACTGGCCTTAGCAACTGCTGACTGATATTGCATTACATTACAGAGTTTGTCATCTGCAAACACTGATACATGGCTTTTAATGCCTATTTCAAGATCATTTATAAATATGTGAAATGGAAGCAGTCCCAGAACAGACCCCTGAGGGACACCACTTACCACTTTTGTCCAGCTTGAAAATGTACCATTAATGACATCTCGTTGTACTCTATCTTTAAGCCGATGTTCTACCCAAAAACAAGAATTTTCATCTAGACCAATTTCTTTAGGTTTGAACACTAACCTATTGTGTTGAACTGTACCAAACACCTTGGCAAAATCCAAATAGATCACATCTACTGCAACACCCTGATCTATACGTCTACTTACTTCTATGTAGAATGTAATGATATATTTATATATGATGCTTGGATGCTTATTTTTTTCTCAATTTAAATGTTTTAAATGCTCTTTTCTTTAATTTCTTGGTTTAACTTCCAACTAAGCTACATTGGTTTTAATTTGTTTTTTTTAATATTTATTACCCAATGGTACATACTGAGAAGTGTACATTTGTAATATTTGCTTGAAGATTAACATACACTGCTGTCTATGTACGAAAGTCTATTGCTGATTTTTTTCAGAAATCAGGTTACTCCGAAATGACATTTACTAGCTGGCATTCCTGAGCAGTGTCATAAAAAACTTCCAAGTGGAGTAGAAACAAATTTGGTGAAATTATTCATTTTTGGCTATGTATATCACAAATCTTTATTGAAGGTACAATACAAAAAAATATAATGGATATATCAGACAAACAGATATGTACATGCAAAATTTTGAACAAGTCAAGGTCAGGAACTTATGGTGGTCAAGTGTATTGATGGAGATAGATAGATAGATAGATAGGAGTGTATATATCACAAGCTTTAGTTTTTTATCATATTTTTTTTTTTTTTAACTTCATTACCCATCACAATGTAAACCATGTGTCTCCTGATTTCTACATTTGCTACATTGCAAACATTGCATATTGCTTTTTTTGTGTGTGTGTGTGTGTGTTTATGACAGTCTTCTGCTCTGTGCATCTGCATTAATCATTATTAATCATTATACACAGAGTCCCAATCATTCGGGTACGGGCAGTACTCCCATAAGGGACATGATCAAGGAAAGGCAGAGAAATGCTAGAACACTTTAGCCACACTCTGGAAATCTGGAGGGTGGCTAAGACCATGTAAAAAAATAAATAAAAAAAAATATGTCTGATCCTTATTAAAGTCCCAGATGGGGACTGAAACGTTGATCGAATGATCGAATTTTTAATGGATTTTCAATAAGCATTGAACTTTTAATTGCTAGGGCTGATCACTACTTCATATGGATATATATATTATTTTTTTATATATATATAATATTTTTTTTTTTACTTTTTCACCATGTAATTTATATTGTGATGTGTGTCTCGGAATGTGTAGCAGTGCGCAAGTGTGTGTATCTGGCTGTGGGTGTATGTGTGTGTTTGTCTAGCTCCAAATGTCACATTCATATTCAAAGGACAACACATTTTTTATTTCTCAATATTTTAAAAGTTCATTACAGTTATTGATATTTAATGTATTTTTTAAAATGTATATATTTTTATTTTTTTTATTTTTTAAAGAAAATTACACCTTCTTTTAAATCTGGCTCAGCAGCCATGTTTATTCAGACTGTACCGTGATCTCACCAACTGATGCTTAATCTAACTTACCTTGTGAAACTGCCATGGCAGGCAAGTTTGAGCAGTAGCTGGATAACAGTAGAGTCTGACCCAACATGTCTGCTCAGCTAGATAGAAAAGTGATTTATTTTTTTCCTAAAAGAAAAAAAAAATCAATATACGAAAATGAGAATTTCATGATGTTTTTCCATGAAAGGGGCATACTAAGCAACATAACTACTACAATTCAGTGTACTGGTTATATTAAAGGGATACTATAATGCCAGGAATACAAAGCTGTATTCCTGGCATTAGCGCTCCCCCTGCCTTCCATCTCCCTTGCGTGCCCCGCTCCCCAGTGAATAAAGGGTTAAAAACCCTTTATTTACTTACCTGATCCCAGCATTGATGTCCCTCTGTGCGACGAGTTTGGCTGCATTTGCATCAGCGCCCACATCTATGTCCAGGTTTGATGGCATTTGAATTCATTATACAGAAATGTTAACCCTACAGTATCAAAATGGCTGAAGCAGAGTGGTCTCAGGGTGCCAGAGAGAGCCCATTTTTTGTCAAACTGCTCCCAAGCAGTCTGACAAATATCTGAGGATGGCCCCAAAAAACTACTGGTTACATAAACACTACACTATAATGGCTGTAGTGGTTATGTTGTTTAGCGTGCCACTGCAAAAATTCACAAAATTGACGATTCCTTCCTACATAATTACCTGGTAGCACGTTCATTCGATCTTTCGCAACATTGGCAAAGTCACATTTTTAATCGGTAATCATTGCAGCACACAGTGGAATTCCACATATGAAGCTAAAAGCTAGACAAGACCGTTCCAGTCTCTGAGTCCATGATGCTGCTTTTCCGTTCAGGTGTGAGGGTCTTTCCCAACAGCCGTAGACTAAGACAGCCCGCTTGTTGTAGAACCCTCAGTGCATCATTTCTGAACTTCACCCCAACAAACGCATAGAGCAATGGATTCAGGCAGCAGTGCACTGACCCCAGGACCTCAGTCACTGAGATAGCAGTGGACAGATGCATCCGTAACATGCAATCCTGCACCCAGTCAAGGATATCCAGAGTATCCAAGAAAAGAGTCATGTTGTATGGAGTCCAGCATAAGAAGAAAACACCTGTTATGACAATGGCCACCCTCACTGCTCTTTTCTTTTCCCGTCTTGTTGACTTGTACAGAGCAGCCACAATATGAGCATAGCAGAATCCCATGATGAAGAGTGGACAGAGGAAACCCACTATATGGATGATGAATCTATTTGCCTGCCACCAGCTGTTATCTGTGAAGTTTTTCTGGCTGTAAGTGCACTCAGTGAGATTGCCATTATTTTGTGTCCCTAGCAAAAACAGGTTGGGAATCGAAAGGAGGAAGCTCAGAATCCACACTCCAAAGCAGGAAAGATAAACAGCCATTCCACTACGTGTTCTGAAGGCATGAACGGCATGGATGATAGCCATGTAGCGGTCTACACTGATGCATCCCAGCAATAGGCTACTGCAAAGGAAGTTGAGTCGGCTGAAAACTCCCACAGATTTGCACATGAAATCTCCAAATATCCAGCCAAATGAGTACTCTGCCACAGTAAAGGGGAAAGTGATGAGCATTAGCAGGTCTGCCACTGCCAGGTGGACGAGAAAGATGTCGGTGGTGGATCGTAAGTGGTGGTGTTTCAATAGAACGAGGAGAACAAGGCCATTTCCCAGGCAGCCCACTATAAACACTAATGAGTAGACCAGAGGAATGAAAAACTTCTGAAAAGCTGTATCTCTGTTCATTGAACTGACTTCAGGGCAAACATAGTCACTGTGGCCACCAATGGCTACGGTTTCATAATTAGTATAATTTAAACTCTATGAAAAAAAAAAAAGAATTATTTCTCATACTTGTCATGTTAACGTGCAATTTATGATAAAACATTTTTAATCAGTATTGCTTTTCTGCTTAATACATAATTACTCAGTTGTTTTTCATTCAAATACATTTCCTGTGCTAGTGGTTTATATGAGCTAGACTTGCCCTCATTGCTCCACAGTCTCTAAATATTTTCCAACCCAAAGAAAGCCTTTCTTAAGCCATATACCTCGTGTCCATACTCTTCTGTTTCTACTAAACCTATAGGCATTTGTCAGATTTATATTCTTCATCGTTACTCAAACAATACCGCACACTCCACCAAAGACACATAAAGGTTGTGTAAAAATAAAGATGTCTTCTGGTGGCGTTATATATCTTATGGTTGTAACAAATCAGCACACTACAATAATTTTCTTAATCCACAGATTTCCACACGTATGAGAACGTGGCACAAATTGATTTACCACAGCCCCATGCTAAGCTTTTTAGAGTTACAGCAAAGTTGTGCCAAATAATGCAATTTACTAACTGGCATAACTAGGTTGCAATGTAAGTTAATAAAAGGTTCCGACCAAAGGGAGTGTGCTTCATCAGAAAACAAAGAAGCAGTAACATCATTTGCTGCTTTCTAAAATGACATTGTGGTTTCACAGGCAGAAAAATAAAAAAAAATATTAAAACAATAAAGTAAACTAAAAACAAGCAGGGCTCGACAAGTGGCCCCTACCCTTTCCACTGGTCCTGTGTTTTAAAGAACAGGGGACCCTGTGGCTTGCTGACCCATTCAGCAATTTGTACAATTACCTCAGTGATCCATTCTTCAACAAAACAATTCTACAAAATAGCTTTGTTAGAGTATTCCCATTGTCAAAATGGCACTCAGAAGGCAATGCTACTAGAGTTACTAACATATTGTGAGTGGTTGCCTGAGGTTCATTAAATATAATGTATTTGCTTCAAACATTGGGTCCAAAAGAAATACCATGAGGACCCAGGGGCAGCATCAGATTAACATAGGGACTAAAGGAGCTGAAGCTCAAGGTAAATGCCCATTGATAGAGATGTATTTATTGATTTACTGTTCACATGCTTATTCTATATTATGTTGTGTAAGGGAATTAATAGGCATGTGCATGGGGAAATTTTTCGGTTCGGTTCGGAACTTTGGAACATCAGCAACTTCGGCACTTCAACACTTCGGAACTTCTTTTGCAGCTGCTTAATAGATAACTCCCTAATTCCCACGGTATTAGGGAGTTATCTACCAAAAGGCTCAGGGGTGGGGGCCCTAAATTAGAATAAGGGGGGGACCTAATGTCCTCCCCCTTGGCCCTCACCCCTGAGCGGTGGGTGGGGGCACTAAATAACAATTAGGGGGGGACCTAATGTCCTTCCCCTTGGCCCTCACCCCTGAGCGGTGGGTGTGGGCCCTAAATACCAATTGGGGGGGACCTAATGTCCTCCCCCCTGGCTCCCACCCCTGAGCGGTGGGTGGGGGCCCTAATTAGAATAAGGGGGTGGGAGCTATTGTCCTCCCCCCTGGCCCCCACCCCTGAGTGGTGGGTGGGGGCCCTAAATTAGAATAAGACGGTGGGGGCTAATGTACTCCCCCCTGGCCCTCACCCCTGAGCGGTGGGTGGGGGACCTAAATAAAAATGTAACCCCCCCAGGTGACTAGGGGTCCCCAAACCCCTAGTCACCCCCCTTCCCAAAAAAATGAACCCCTACCTACCCCTCTCACCCTAAAAATAATGAGGGGGGACCATTAACTACCTGTAAAAAAAAACTTACCATTTGATGTTTTCTAAAATCTTCTTTTTCCAGCCCCAAAAAAGGCCAAATAAAAATCCATAATAACCGACGCAAAAAAAAAAAAAAGATCGCAAAAAAAAAAATCCATCTTCACCCATGGAGGGCTCCGCGCAGACTGAGCTCTGCAGGGCGGGGGAAGTCTTATGAAGCCTTGCCCCCCCCCTGCAATTAGGCTCAGAGCACTCTGGTTGGTAGGTTTAAGCCATCTAATCAGAGTGCTCTGACAGGTAAATGAAGAGACTGAAAGGTAAGTCTCTACATTTACCTGTCACAGCACTCTGATTGGTTAGCTTGAAATCCACCAATCAGAGTGCTCTGTGTCATTTTACACAGCGTGGGAAAGTTCTTTGGAATTTTCCCACGCTGTGTAATTTGACTCATAACAACACTCTGATTGGTGGATTGAAAGGAACCAATCAGAGAGTTATGAGTCAAATTACACAGCGTGTGAAAATTCCAGGTAAATGTAGAGACTTACCTGTCAGTCTCTTCATTTACCTGTCAGAGCACTCTTATTGGATGGCTTTAATCCACCAACCAGAGTGCTCTGAGCCTAATTGCAGGACGGGGCAAGGCTTTATAAGCCTTCCCGCGTCCTGCAGAGCTCAGTCTGCGCAGAGCCTTCAATGGGTGAAGATGGATTATTTTTTTTGCGCTCTTTTTTTAATTTAATTTAATTTTTTAAAGTGCGTCAGTTAATATGGATTTTTATTTGGCCTTTTTTGGGACTGAAAAAATAAAATTTTAGAAGAAAGAAAACATCAAATGGTAAGTTTTATATATATTTTTTTTACAGGTACTTAGTTAATGGTCCCCCCTCATTATTTTTAGGGTGAGGGGAGTAGGTAGGGGTTAATTTTTTTTGGTAGGGGGGTGACTAGGGGTCTGGGGACATCAGAATGCCGTTTGGACTAGGTAAGTGTGTGAGCATAATAGCAAAAAGAGGGAAGATGATCATGACAAAAGGAGTTCAAATATCCATAGGCAAAATAGATGTAGAGAACAGCTTCAAGTACCTGTGGTACCACAAACATATATCAACCATGAGGAAGAAGAAAGGAGGATATCAACATCCAAGTACCTCCAGAGAGTACCTCCAGTGCCAGGACTGCCACCACAACCACTTACACATCTATAGGGCTCCCAGTGCCAGGACAGACACCACAACCACTAACACATCTATAGGGCTCCCAGTGCCAGGATTGCAACCACAACCACTTCCACATCTATAGGGTTCCCACCTTCCAGTGCCAGGACTGCCACCACAACTTCTTACACATCTGTAGGGCTCCCAGTGCCAGAATTGCCACCACAACCACTTACACATCTATAGGGCACCCAGAGCCCGGACTGTCACCACAACCACTTACTAGACATGTGCAATTCGTTTCATGCAATTCGGACATTCGGATGCTTACAAAGTTCTGAACTGCCGAAGTACCAAACTGCCGAAGTTCGGTAGTTCGGAAATGCCGAACCGAACCGAATGCCATTGCTCCGAGCAGACAATTTTTTTACTTACTTGAATTATGAACCGAACTAAATTTTTTGCCCATGCACATCCCTACTAGGAACAGCTAAAATACTGCGCAGAACCCTCAGCCTCCCAGGCCTCTGGTAGAGGATCCAAGAACATAGAGTTTATTTCTTCATTGTAAAAATGTGCACTCGATAAAGTGCGTGCAGTGATGCAAAAAGTTGACGTTTCAGTCCCAGTGTGGGACTTTCCTCAGAACAACATATATGAAGGTGAGTATGTGTGTTTGATTTCCCTAGCAAAAAGGTTTGGAGGTGGGGGGTTGGGGGGACATAGTGAGAAAAAGGTAAATTCTACAATTGGGATGGGGTGACAAAATACATTTTTCCTATGTGTAACAAGTACCCTAGGTACACTTCTGGCTCCATATGTATACCAGAGCTCTACATCAATAATACTCACTGCAATCTGTCTTTAAACTACAATAAATGTCCCCTCAGTACAGGCTTACTGGGTTCAAATCACCAACCTAAGCTCGAACATATTGCAGAAGCCTCTACGGTTAGACCCCTGGGCCTGCCTCCTCTCCAGGCCAACAGATGGCCTCCCACGCCCAGAGCAACAACTGTTAAACATGATTTACCTGGCGGCCCGAAGTGCACAAGCGCAGAAATGGCTCTGCCCGGAAACGCCCCCCCATGGCACTAGTGATAGCTAAGATAAAGGATAACTACCAAATGGACAGGTTAACCTCCCTGGTCAGACACACCACCCAAAAATTTGGCAGGACATGGGAACTATGGGAACAATACCAGGAGAATAGGGAGAGTGGACAGGGGAACCGAACACACACTCAGGGCTAAAGACCAAAGCGCACACGATGATCCTCATCCGAGCTGTGGAAGCCGACACGCCAACTCACAGTATCACAGTCCACAACGATTATAAAGTTTTGGTTAATGTATGACTTTTTCATGTTCATTATGTTACCTTTAGCTACCAATTGTACCAATTGTATAAAAATACACCAATTGAAGTGACACGTGACCTCACAGCGAGCTCTATCAGGCAACTCATGTAGAGCTGCCCTAACAAGCCACAGGGCGTCAGAAGGTCTACCGAACAAAATAGAAACGGCAATAAGCATACAACTAAACATGATGTAACATTCGTCTCTTATGTATAATTGACCCATCTGAAAATGTACTGCGGCTTCTGTGCAAGCCTACACAGCATCATAAATATGCCCCTCTTTTGTGGCTTCTGCGTAAGCCTATACAGGGTCACATATATGCACTTCTTTCTGTGAAAAATAAAGAATAAAAAAAAAAAAAACCTACAATAAATGTGTTAAAAAAATAAGATACTGTGTTCTAGTTCACACTTACATTGTAGTAGTATAAATTGTTATTAGTAAGTCACCTAAAATTTCTCAAAACAGCCTCACCAGTGGACACACCCCTCACTGAAACCTCTTTTTTTTAAAATCAATTTGAAGTATTGGGAGGTATGCCACTGACTTATGTGCTTGTTGTTCTAATTAAATGTGGAAGACAAAGTAAAAAATATTTGGATTTCTAAATTGTGTTTGCTAAATTAACAGCAAATACATGCATTAAAGAATTACATTGTGATGGTATGTACTTC